ACCTCCCCAGTGGCTCAGTGATAAGTCTTAAGGCTTATAACGATAAAAACCGCGTTTCGATACCAATGGTGGCTGGAAGCACTGTTAATGACTTATACAGCTGTAAACTAGTACATGTATTTTGCTTGGTTAATAATGTGCAAACCAAAAAAGAATGGGTTTATTTTGATATTTGACTTATTTCTAGCCGCGGCATAACGGCTCAACAATGGCTCCGAGTTTGTTTGTTTTTTCCAAGTACAAACTTTTAACTCATAGCTTCATTTCTTGACCGATTTGAGATCTAAATACAGCTGCGGCTACTGAGGATTCCCTCTTATTTTATCTTATGGTTTCTCTACGCAATACGTGCGATCAAAGTTGAAAATCTCGTTCGTAAGCTATATTATAACGAATGTTACTCACCTCAACATAAATTCATCACGTGTATTCCAAAGTTTTTATCATACTGGAACTCTAAATGCATACTCTGAATATAAAGAACTGTGAAAAAATGCTTGGATTTAGAATTTTTGTTTTGTAAATGTTTCTAGTTTATTCAATTTCTGACCCAAAGACTTGGGCTTATTAAATTATAAAAATGTTAGGGTATAATATTCTACTTCACGTTTTCTTAAGCCTAACATTATACTTTCTAATCACAAAAATCTATGGCAGTAATGTCTAACACACGAGTCTGAAGATCTAGGTTTAAATTACAAAATTTTATAATGTATAATTTATAGACGATACTTTCAGACATCGGTCTCTACTTAAACGTGTAAGATTACGTTCTTAGTTTCAACACCAAACATGTGTATTTAATGTTGCCCAAGTGTAGTAATACATTTTTAATATTGAAATCTAGCATCTATGTTTAAAGTTGCTATGGTGTATTAAAACATTGTTACACTTGTTATCTAACATTTGTGTTGAAACTTGCTAATGTGTATTAATACATTGTTTCACTTTTTATTCAGCAGCTGTGTTTAAAGTTGCTAACGTGTATTAAAACATTGTTACACTTGTTATCTAACATCTGTGTTTAAAGTTGCTAATGTGTATTAATACATTGTTACATTCGATATGGAACATCCTTGTTTGAATTATCAATACCTTTGATCAAAATACGCTAACTACGCAGATCAGATTTTTTTTTAAATTGAAAAATAATTTACTTAATATAAACATCTGACTATTTCAGAGAATGTAATATCATAAAACAAATACTTACTCTGATTAGAAAGCATTCATTCATCACTTGGGTGGCCTAGTTAAATCGCTATTTTCAATCATAATGCCTCACGAGATTTGGTCAGTCTTAAATCAATGTACTTAGCTAACAGTGCAAAATAACCTTTATAAGTGTAACAAAATAATACATAGACACATACAAAGTTACAACCAATACTAGTGATCATTAAAAAACTGGTAATAATATTTTTACAAATCTTTAGCCCTATACTAAAGGTTTTCAATAAGGAGAAACATGATATAACACCTAGACCGCACGCCACTGCCGACGAAGCCCTTCGCCTAATACCAGAACTCATAATCAGGTCAGCTGGAAATGCAACACACAAACTGTCGGTCCTACGATCGCGATGTTATTACGTTTCTTCTTATACGAAACCCGTAGTATAGAGTCACTAAAGAAAGATCTGTAAACAAAAAATACTATAACGTTCTTGTGATGTAGAGTTATACAAATTATTAATTAATAGATCATGCTTCGCCAACATGAAACATTATATAACACGATAGTTAACCAAAACTATTAATGAAATTAACTTTAAAAACGTGTAACAATACATACATTGTTGCACACGATACCTAACATCCATGCCTAATGTTACAATCATTTAACAAGACATTGTTGCACATGATATCTAATATCCATGTCTAATGTTACACACTCTTAACAATACATTGTTGCACATGATATCTAATATCCATGTCTAATGTTACACACTCTTAACACTACATTGTTGTACATGATATATAATATCCACGTCTAACGTTACAAACATTTAACAAGACATTGTTGCACATGATATCTAATATCCACGTCTAATGTTACACACTCTTAACAATACATTGTTGTACATGATATCTAATATCCACGTCTAATGCTACAAACATTTAACAAGACATTGTTGCACATGATATAATTTGTGGTTAAAGCTACAAATGTGTAGAACTGTAGTGCTTAAGATGTCTGCAAACAGATCTTTATAACAAAAAAAAACGTCTTACAGATAACTACAGTGTTTAACGTTACAGATATTCAATCATTATGATCAATTATAATATCTAGCATTTGTGTTTGAAGTTCAAACTTTTAACTAATATTCTTTCTACACGTGACACCTAAATTCACTATAGGAAAACCTGATATCTTTGTTGAAGGTTGAAACATACGCAGTTATTTTCCTATCCAAAAGTTGGAGCTTGGATTGGACCTTTTATGGAGCTTTGGATTTCGGAGCTGACAAGCTGGTTTAAATCTGTACATACCACAAAATATTCCCAGCACTTTAAACTATGGTCGTGTTATCAAAGTGACAGTCAATTCCTCAATGTAGTTCGTTTTTTTGTTTTGAATTTCGCGCCAATATACAAGAGAGCTATCTGCGCTAGCCGTCCCTAATTTAGCAGTGTAAGACTAGAGAGAAGGCAGCTAGTCATCATCACCCATAGCCAACTCTTGGGCTACACTTTGACCAACGAATAGTGGTATTGACCGTCAAATTATAACGTCCCCACGGCTGAAAGGGATTCGAACCCGCGACCCTCAGATTGCGAGTCGAGCGCCCTAACCACCTGGCCATGCCGGGGCCCTAACCACCTGGCCTTGCCGGGCTCCCCTCGATGTAGATGGTGGATAATAGAGTGCTTCTAACTGGCTGCCTTCCCTCTGATCAACATTCAAAATTATGGGAAATTAAGGGAAATAGCCTTAGTAGTTTTGCCATAGATACCAAAATCAAACAATATATAATAATATGCAAATATTACTTATAAACTGAGTTTAAAAGTATTAACAATGGGTATCTTTGAAATCATGAGTTTAAATATTTATTTAACTGAAGGAGTTCTGGTAGCGAGTCCGAGGAAGAGATTCGAATCACTACCAACAGGGGACATTTTAAAGAAATCGACCATGACATAATTCATGGATCAGAAACGGAATGCGATCGACAATGTAAGTAAATAATAATTTTTACAAAATAACTGGTTAAAACTTAATCATAAAATATTTTGGGTTTTTACTTTAAGTCAACTTCGGTTATTTGTTATTCAGATTTTATAAAGGAATCGTTTACAACAGAATATAACTATTGCTTGGTATTTTCAACTGGATCCTAGAGCTGGCGAGCCGATTTATCTTCTCCACATTTTCAGCTGTGGGTGCGTCATAAGAATGACCGTCAAACCCTTAGCATGGATGGTGGGTAATAGGATGCTGTTGACTGGCTGCCTTCCCTCTGGCCAGTAGTTCACAATTATTGACTGGGGGTAGATAGTCTTATTAGCTTTGCCATAAATACAAAATATAATGAAACAGGCTAAACCAGGCACAGTGGTTTAGTGTTTCAAAAAGTCCAAAGTTTGAGCCGCTATATGCAGTTAAACACTTTGGACCTCTTGTAACTATGTAGGCGTTATAACTGTGACAGTCAATCCTTTATTCAGTTAAAATTAGCTAGTAGATAGGGTGCGCTGCTAACCACTTGTCCTCCCTCTGATTCTACAATTCTAAATTAAAGATGACAAAGAACGTAGTGGTCCCTGACCAAGTTATTTGGTCCATTTAGTTGAAAAATCACACATTTTAAATTAAACTGGAACTTATCTTTGTTGTTTCAGATTTATTGGTGATGATGAAAAAATATTCTTGCACTACATAGTTTTATATTCTGTTTGAATTAGAATTAAACCTCTAATATTGTTAAATTTACTATTCACAAAACCTCTACTGAGACTAGTCTGTAAGTTTAAAGAATGTTTTGTTTAAATTTTCACTCTGCCTTTCAAAAGTTTAGGAAACTATACTAATTTATCTTTCATTACTTAATATCAATAGTGATGAAATACTCTCCCTGGTGGCTTAGCAGTAAGTATGAAGACCTATAATGCTAAGAATCGGGTTTCGATATCTTCGGTGGACACAGCACAGATGGCCCAGTGTTTAATTTTGTACTTCATTTGTTTGTTTCTAATTAGGCACAAAGCTACACAATGGGCTATCTGTGCTCTGCCCACCACGGGTATCGAAACCCGTTTTCTAGTGTTGTAAGTCCGCAGACATACCGCTGTGCCACTGGGGGGGGGGGGCTTGTATTTAATAACAACAACAAAAAAAAAATCACCAGTGACTCAGCCAAGAGCTAGAGCGCTTATAAAGCTAAAATTTGAGGTCCAATTCCTGCAGCGTATATAGCATATTATGCAACTTTGCACCTAAATGAACAATCACACAAGTAATGATAAAATTTTGTTTCCTTCCTCTTGGGAACTAGTGTACTCTCAAGCATTTTTTGATTATTAAAATAAAACCTGAAATAATGATTAAGGTTCAATAAATCTTGTCAGTTGGCTTTAGTTAGTTAGTTTGTTTTTATTGTTGTTTCTCCAGGGAAGAGTGTCCGACGATCACGAAACCATCTTGAAGATGTCCACGTTTCTTAAACAGATGAATCTGCATGAACGTTTGTGAAAGGCCTAACGTTGCTGACCTTGACAACATTGCAGTTATATCTATACACGTATATATTAATGAAAGAAATTTTGATTGTATTTAAATGTTCTTTGAAATGACGTAAAAATGAGCGGAGTAAATGTATTACATTGAGACTGATCTCAAAAAGTTTCATTTGCTTGATTTGTGTTTCTGAATCACTTATTTTTGTTATAATTATGTGCTTATTTCTTGATTGTTAATTTTGTTATAATTATCTGACAGCATTTCAAAATCTATATATTGTTACGTATCTGCTTGTTTGTTAATTTCCGGTAGAAATTCTTTCCGAGGAACTTAAGCGATACAAGTCCTTTCTTGATTAAACCAGTTTATTCTTTCTCGATACAAACTTTTTGTACATAGTAATTCCACAGTCAGTATGCTTCTCGTCACTTCAAACTTAACAACTTTTATAATACACGCTATAACTGACAGCGATTCACAATCTCGATAACTTCGCTCTCTACGAGTGCAAATCACACACTAGCTCGAAACAGAATCGTAAATTACCCGAAACTCACCGAACTACTCACTTCTTCATCCCCTGGCTTTTCTCTTCCATGCTTATATACTAACAAAGAGGCGTCTCCAACATTCGCGGAGTTACCCGATAGTTCGAAAAACTCAGTCACGCATGCGCCAGCAGAGTCACGTGACTTCCGTTATCGTAAAAATATTTTAAATTTATTTTGGATTTTAAGTGAATAAGAGTTATTCGTTTTGGTAGGTGCACGGAGTTAAATTCCTTGTCTCGCTTAGGATGCCAATTCAACCTAAATCTTGCAAAATGGACCTTTTTCTATGATATATTTATTGCATCATTATCCTACGAGCCCACGTTAAGTTTCCTATTTTTTTTTCAATAGATTTTTACTTCTACTTCTGTTTAAGAAATAAAACTTCATTAAATTTAATTATAAAATTGAAGTCATACGAATTTGCATCATCACAATTTCGTAAAGTTTACGCGATCGTAAGTCATTAATGGATAAAATTATTCGAAAATAATGTAATATACCAAACTGTTGGGCATCTCTCCATGAATTAATATGATTCGTTAAATTATTCTGTTATTTTTACATTCAGTAAAAAATAAACAAATTTTAGATGTAGAGGTTTTATCTGGATCTGTATCCACTGGTTAGTTATTTATTTTATAAATTTTTCAATTTAATTACCTCTGAATCATAATTATCCACGAAATACATTTATTATATAGCTCGATTCTGTATTTGAAGTCTTTTCACATATTTATGTCAGTAATTGTTTTGTATTATTTCTGTACTAGCCATTTTCCAGTAGATGGAAAGGCTATATAAAAATTGGATAATTCTCAAAATTATGTATTAATTATTTTACAAAATAAAGATCTAGGGGATTTCGTGATACAATAGAAACAATTTCTTTGATATTATACGTAGAATTATTTATTGAGAAAGTATTAAAATAACCTAATGCATTCAGTAATTCTAAAAATTAATATTAGTCAATTCTTATTCAAGCTTTTTAAGCTAGCTTATCAAATATAAGTACATGAGATTTACAGATGTAAGTTATCTAATAAATGTTATAATTAATTTCATTTATTGTTTTTTTTTTCCGTTGAGAAGTATTGTTATTTACATGAGTATATATTATTTTGGTATTTTGATATGAACAAATTACTACTGTTTTTAAATGACAAAATAATCACTTATGCTCAGTTGCTATTTGAATTTTTTATCGTTTGCACCTAGATGCAAATTTTCGCCATTAATTCATTACTGATTACAAACAGATTTATGAAAGCTAATACAAGTTATCTGTTTTCATGAAAGGCTTAAAACAGCTTCGGCCATTTTGATGTTTGCCTATCAAACGAAAATTCATAAAAACTGACCTTCACACAAGCTTGTTGTTACTTTCAATCTGTGTATCTGTAGCTTTACTTACTATACCTACTAGTTCTTGTCAGATGAGAAAGGTTCGTTTCTGGAAATTTGTTAAACAAATGTTTCTGTCTGAATGATACAGGACTCTTTGTACGAGTCTCATTTATAAAACTTTTGTGACAAAATATTCCCACATTATATCGAGATTTACTTCATATTTTAAGAATCGTAATATTGAACAAACGCTTTCTTGCTATGCTTTTCATATTATAATTTTACTTTTGTTATCATCGTATTTGACGATTTTAAATAAATAAGCTAGTAACAGGTCTGGAAATTATAACAACAAATATTTTGTGTAGCTTTAAATATATCTGTAATGATATATATATATGTATAAATCCATAAGTTTCTTCTTTTTTTAAAGTACATGTCGAACAAATATTAAGCCATATTTTTTCATCAATAAAAAAATTAATTAAATAAACAGGGTTAAAACAAAACAAATAATATTGTATTATTAATTCTTACCTATAAATCTGATTTGTAAATGACTTAGATAAAACTTACAATAATTACAATTCACTTACTTAATTTGATTTTTACACGCTAAAACTTGTTGTTCATGACCGTTGATGACATATATATGTATATATAACGCTTAAACCACTGCTATGTCTGTCGTATCCCAAACGGCCTGATGAGCAATGGTGTTAGACGAAAAGCCTCATCGGCACTAGATATAGCAGATGTATATGGTTGACACAATATAACATAATATTTTTTGCTTTCACTCATGGGTTCTTAGAATAGTATTTATATATAACTGTATCATACTATTTGAATCAAATGAAATGTTTAATGTAGTATCTATCAATTGATTAAAGTGATCAAACATGACTTGACGGTTGGTGTGCTGTGCTTCGATTTGGAAGACCCAACGTTCGAGCCGCGATTGCAACTTAACATTTTCCGCATTATCAGTTGTGGAAGTGTTACAACTATAACAGTCAGTCTCGCTATTCGAGTAAGAGAAATAAAACAAAGCTGGTGCTGTTAACAATTAATCAGTTAACAGCTCCGAGTTACAAATGGTTATGCCTGGACCTTATGAATCTCTAACATGACTATTTAGCCTAAATATTGCATAAGGTGTCGTTAATATTGAAAAATAAAAATACCAGTTCACTAAAAAATAGGTTAAGCATCTTTATCTAAAACAACAAAATTAAAAAACTGGTTCATCTGATTTATATTAGTTTTTACCCTACAAAACATAACCTTTGCATGTGACACTTGTTAAACAAAACTATATGTCAGAAAGTCCAGTTACCCTTATATAAGTTATTCAGCAATTTACTATTTTTAGATTATATGAGTTAAATATCAAACTTAAGCTAACACTAACTAGGTGATTAACAACAGCATAGTGCCAGTGTAGCAGTTGAAACTGAAAGGTATAAATTAAAAATACAACAAGCAACAGTATTTTTGAACCAAACTAAGTATACAAACAAATTTACTTTCACTAAATGAAATAAACAATATTGAATTGCTATAATAACCAAAAAATAACAGTAATATTACCTAAAACATCTTGTTCAACACACGTAATTTACGAAGATATGAAAAGAAAAATATATTTCAGACGATTGTCTGGCGTACGTCATACGCATGCGTATTACTGTCGAAGAGCTTTTTGCGTTAGAAATGGTGAGTACTTTCGTAAAGGTTTGTTTGTTTGTTTTTTGAATTTCGTGCAAAGCTACACGAGGGCTATCTGCGCTAGCCGTCCCTAATTTAGCAGTGTAAGACTAGAGGGAAGCCAACTCTTGGGCTACTCTTTTACCAACGAATAGTGGGATTGACCGTCACATTATAACGCCCCCACGGCTGAAAGGGCGAGCATCTTTGGTGTGACGGGGGATTCGAACCCGCGGCCCGCAGATTTCGAGTCGAGCGCCCTAACCACCAGGCCATGCCGGGGCCCTTTCGTAAAGAGTTTGAAATAATTCGTTATTTCCAGGTTCATGATAAAAATACATTTTGATATGTGAGACATGATCATGGCATAATAATTCCATTGAAAACAGTGAAAATGTATCATTTATAAAGTTCACCACATCTGTATGACAAAACATTTTCCTCTGGACTCATCAAAGCCAATCAAATCGATGTCACATTAGTATCAGGCCTATTATATTATTAACACAATATCATTTATGCAATATTATGTAGTGTTTATACCATAAAAATTGTTATTTTAAGATAAATAATTTTGTTTTGAACATCACTTAAACAAACAGACAATAATTGCTAAAGAAATAAACTAAGGTTAAATAAAAGCAAATTATGCAAAAATATTTTTATGTTTAAAAAATTCAGAATAGTAAATTAGTTTTACAAGAAAAACGGAATCCAAGAATAGAGAAATTTTCATTCTTACTAAAAAAAAAAAAAGCCCCAGTAATTCAGTGGCGTGTAAGTTTGAAGACTTACAACGCTAAAAACAGAATTGAGATACCCATGGTGGGCAAAGTGCAGATAGCCCATTGCGTAGCCTTGTGCTTAACAACAAACAAATAAGATATACCAAAATAATAATTGTAAATATTAAATTATTTCCAGTCGTTCCTTTTCATCTGCCACCCAGTGGCTCAGCGCTAAATCTGAGGTCTTATAACGTTGAAAATCGGGTTTTAATACCTGCAATGGACAGAGAACAGATAAATCAATGTGTAGCTTTGCGCTTAACCACAATTAAACAAACAAAAAATTATTTCATCTAATGCTGAGTACGAAAGAAAAGAAAAAAAATCACTGATGCTATCTATCTATGTAAGACTAATTCAGTGTTCTTTGTAGTCTGTTCTTCGTCATGGTTATTGTCTGGGTGTAAATACGTTTCTGTTGTTGTCGTTCTAGCGCAAAGCTACACAATGGGCTATCTGCGCTCTGTTCACCAAGGGGGATCGAACCTCACATTTTAGCATTGTAAACTCATCCCTGGTCTACCAGGGGATTGGTGTGAATAAGAAAGTCACTAGCATTTGATTCCAGTTTCCTTCCCTTACTAACATTCTGAGATGACTTCCGGTTATAATATGATTTCCGGTTAAAACTATTACAAAACGAGAAACAAGATTTTTTTCGGTTTTCGTTTATGTAACATTTATATTTTATGTCTGAAAATGTATTATTTCTTACTTTTTAAAATATTTTACATATTGTAGTATATCTGTCGTT